AGGTGGGCGCGGGGGCAGGTCTCTGAGGTGAGTGCGCCCCCGGGGCGCGGGGGCAGGTCTCTGAGGTGAGTGCGCCCCCGGGGCGCGGGGCCGATCTCTTTCCCCTCCCCTGTTCCCCTCAGCTCTGCCTTGGTGGGGGTGGGGAGGGAAGGAGCGAGCGGGGCTCGTCTGCCGGTAAAGCGGGGGAGCCCTGAGGAGAAAGTGGGGTCACACGTTATCAGCAGAGCTCTCCTGAGAGAGCGCGGGAGGCTCCCCGACATCCTCCTGCTTTCCCCGTGCTCTCCTTGTCGTTTTACGATCCCAGGTTGAAAATTTTGGAAGCCGCAGTGTCATTCGACGTGTCTGGGGGAGGGAGAAATGCTTGGCCGTGTTTTGCCGTCTTTAGTTACAGGTTGGCAGCTGGAGCGGGGAACCCTTGAAGTGGTAACTGCAGGCACAGGGCAGTGGCAGGGAAGGGTCAGGGCAGGACAGAGATGGGGTCGCTGGGCCAGCGTTTTCCCTCAGCAGGTCTTGGAGCATCATCCAAGGTCATCTTTATCACCATTTTCTAGCAGCCAAGGAAGGGTTGTTCCTTTTTCAAGGTCATACGGTAGCCTTAGTGCCGAACAGGTCTCTCCAGTCCGAATTCATTTTTAAGTCCGTCATTTCCTATAAAGCAAACAAGCGGAGATTGTTTGATATAAGATAGATGTTGGAGTCATGCCAGCACTATAATTGCCCTGTTGACAAGGTGTTAGGATTAGGGATATGGGAGGGTTCTCTGATGCCAGGAAGGCCAGGCAGCCGTGGAGAAGTGGAGCTGGGCCAGGCAGTTTAGCCAGCAATATATGAGGGAAATAACCAACAACTGAGGTAAGGCAGTGCAGGGTATGAGAGAAAGCGTGATCACTGTGCTATTACTTATAACACAGTAAAACCTCAGGGTTGTCTTCATTTTTTTTCCCATTCTTTTTGACTGCACTGTGATTTGGGGGGTGGGGTGGTGATTCATTACAGCCTAGTTTTCTTCTGTTTTCTTCCGATGATCCAATGAGAAAAAGACAGCAAAACCAGGCTGTAACATCTGTGTCTGAAGCAAAGAAATGAAATCCAAGATGAGAGAGACAAGTCTGATTTTTGAAGACAAAAAAAGAAAGACATTAGGTGGAAGCTTTAGGCCTGTATGTCCGTAGTTTTTGGTTCTCCTGACAGGAGAAAACCAAAAAAATTGCCTGACACACCACTTCATGGCTTTCATCACCTTGTTTGTAAGATTATGCTACTGTGATAAATACATTCCTAATTTATTTGGTTTTTAAATAAATGGAAATTCAGTATGGCTGTTGCTTATAGCACACAGGGTGCCACAAGTAATCAAAAGGGGGAAGGAAAGGGGTATAAAAAGAGGATGGGGAAAATGGGGAATAAATTAACTCTATCAGGAG